TTAAATGTCAAAAGGTTGATAAACAAAATCTTATTATCTTTGTAAATGTCGTCTTATTACCTTAAAAGGGTTGGATTTCCCGCTTTGTCCATCGTCTTCAATGCTGATTCAATATAATCATCTACATAAAAATTGTAAAACATTTGTGAGAAGATAATTCCTGACTACCCATTAGATCATTTTAAAGTAACCTACAAATATTATCCTTAAAGAATACGGTTTAATTAGACATTTCGAGCCATGATAATTTAATATTAAAAATAATCCTTATTTTTTAATCTTAGTAAATCAATTTCAACAATTCTTAAAATTTAATACATAAAAAACAGCATAAGGCGCATAGAATACATGGTGGTATCTGATTGGGTAGACAGGCCCAATATCGGTTGTCCATTGAAAATGACTGAGTAATTAATTAAATCATTACAAATCATAAACCCAGGCTGTAATGTATTATTAGTAAAATCATCATGAAACTGTAGAAAGGAAATAGGACACCCCTAGAAGTCTAATTTGATTTGATTTGATTTAGAATTGATCAATATAGCGACAATCGAAGATGTTTTTATGAGAGGATACAGTGAGAACCAATAAACTGTGGAACAGGAAGACTACATTAATAAACACTATTTTATTTGAGTTTTTTCCAAAGGAATTAGTTTTACAAGTAAGTTAAATCATTATTAACTATTACTAAAAGTAAGTAGTTACTAGGACACAGTCCTAATGTGGACAGGACCAGATTGAACCCTAAATCCCATTCAACACTGCTATGGTCGGCAGCTCCTGGCTCTTTAAGATTCACAACTGGTGCATTAAGAAACCTTCATTACAAGCATTCAACTCATCAAAAAAAACCTTCCTAAAATGATTATCCTAGGTTTTTCTCAGCAATCAGTTGGATTTTCAAATAAAAATGCAAAAATAAATAAAGCCAGTTGGAGTCTTTAAAAATCAAACGACTAAGAGCCAGTTATTAAATCACTCATTAAGAGTTTACAATGCACAATTGCTGTGTCTCATGTTATACATTGGACTATTTAAAGTCATGACTTGAGTCTAAAAGTCGTCTCTATTCCAAAGTTTTCTGGTTCTTACTGTATCTTGTAAATGTCTTACCCAGAAGCTTGTATGGATAATGTTGCTTTTCGGCGGGTATGCTACTATTGTCCGGCGGATGGTTGGCGGGTATGCTACTATTGTCCGGCGGATAGTTGGTGGGTACTAAAGATAGGGCGGACGGGAATAAATGTTGCCAAGAAAGATACTGCTCTTCTGTTTGCACACCACAGGATATCCTTCAAAAATTCAGGATTCAACTTTTCACATTTTTGACAAAACTAATTTCAATAATAAATCAAAGCAGCGTTATTTTTAAAAATATTTGTTTTCAAATGCAACTATAGTAAAATGAACGAACAAATTAACAAATGAACGAATGAACGAATAAATAAATGAACAATTGAACAATTGAACAATTGAACAATTGAACAATTGAACAATTGAACAATTGAACAATTGAACAATTGAACAATTGAACAATTGAACAATTGAAGAAATGAACAAATGAACAAATGAACAAATGAACAAATGAACAAATGAACAATGGGTAAATAAAAGGATGAATAAAAGCAAGAATGAATGAACAAAAGGAAGGATGAATAGGTGAATGAAAGGAAGGATGAATAAATGAATAAATGAATGAACAACTAAGTTACCTAGGTATATCTTCCTTCAATTTAGCAGGAGATCTCTCTCTTAAATCAAATATTTCATGATAAATATTTGAATTTATTTTTGATAATCTATTTTAAATATTATATGATTTGTCATTGTTTGAAATAAATTAGAAGATATTTTAAACGATTTTTGCAAAACTAAAGTCAAGCCTTTAGCTTTATAATGTTTCACAAGTTGTCATACATTTTTAATTAATTAATTATCAATTGATTAATTGTAATTAGTTACATTAATTCCGAAGTTAATTCAGCCCAACCCCATTTTATCTTTCCGCGGACACTCCCTTTAAATAGTTGAGATCAGAAAACATTAATTGATGGATTTTAAATAAATAAAGACAAAGTTTTAAAAGACAATATTGTTGATATTTAAAATATTATGCCTGGTTTTCATTTGAAGGAAGTTTATAGATAATAGTTGGGGACAAGAGCTAGATCTAACCAAACCATCCTCTCCAGTCTTAAACTCGTCTAGATAGTTGGATATAGTTAATAGATAATAGTTGGGGACAAGAGCTAGATCTAACCAAACCNTCCCAAGCCTACCCAAGCCTACCCAAGTCTACCCAAGTCTACCCAAGTCTACCAAGTCTACCTGCTGAGTCCGGGAATATATGAGGTGTGATATGCCGAGTATCAAGGTTTCTCAATTGGTTTGAATTAGTCAGAGAACTCACCTTCAAGAAAGTATATTTGTAATTTCAACTGACATTATAAATGGGGATGTCGATTCACAACGGTTACTTAAAACCTACAATCTGATCAATAATGTGAAAGATATCGCTGTTGTCCTTGAATAAAGTGTTTCGTTCTGACGATTTCCTCCGTTGTTTCTGTATAGAATAATATAGAAAAATCACAAGAAATCTTGGATATCTCAAGGATTCTGGAGAAAAAAAAATCTTTCACGGATACCGTTGTAAATCGGTCATGCCCTCTATAAATGGAGAGTCATCTGAATTTACATCTTTAAGTTCCTTCAAATAATTTTCTTAATTCATATCACTTCGGAGTACTTCTCGTCTGATACAATATGCTTAACAAAAAAATGTAAAATTTCATTCAAGTAATTTTCACAAATTTTTTATCACTCAAATATTTTATACCTCTGTATCTTCGTCCGTTTCCTCGGTAGCCCCTAAACAATATTTCTTTTAAAAACATCTTTTCATAATTTTGGAGTAAAAATTGAAATTTTGGATATAAGGCTGACAAGTCTCTCCTAGATCTAATCAAACCATCCTCTCCAGTCTTTAACTCATCTAGATAGTAGGATATAGTTTATAGATAATAGTTGGGGACAAGAGCTAGATCTTGCAAATTGAAAACTTAAGGTTAAAAAAGTATAAAAGTCTCAATTGCTTGTAAACTTTTTTTTTGCGGCAAGTGTATCACTCAAATTAACCGTTTTGTCAAAAAAGGTAGTTTGGACCATTTTTGAAATTTCAAGTGCAATGTCGAAAATTAAGTCTGGTGTTTTAATCAGCGGTAGGCGATTATATCAATACGATAAAAACGACTTTTTTATATAAGTTTTGATTTTTAACAACTTTTTTGTCTTCTATGTTTATGTGTATCCATGCTGTTTAACAGCTTGATATAATTCATAATAAAAATCAAAAGTCGTCTTTATTGTTTTGCTATTTACGACGGCGACTGTATATTTCTGTCCGTACCTTCCTCCTCAGGTTCGCAGAGGGTTATGTACCGTACACGGGTCCGTACAGTTCGTACAAAATCGTCTACAGCCAGGGTCTGCAGGCTTGTACTGCAATAATTATACAGGGATAAACACAAAGGATAAGACTGTAAAGACGACTGAAAAGATATGACGATCCCAAGGTTAAATTAAGTTATCTGCCCTGAATATAGTGTAACAATGGCTTACATAATGATTTGGAAAAGAAAGAAACAAGTTTACAGTTGCAGGGAATCATGAATGTGATGAAACAGACAGTGTCAATGTGGTAAAGTCGTCTCTGAAGGTCTCATCCTTTGTGGACAACCCTGTAGTATTAGACCAAGAAACTAAATCCTTTACTAAGAGACTGTAGACTTAATTTCAAGTAACACTGCCATGCATTTGTAAAGTTGCATTTCCGGTTCACAACAGTGCCCTTTGTCTTATCAAGGATGAAAGAGTACTGACATACTTAATCTAATTAATTAATTAATTAATTAATTGATTATAAATAAAATAAAAAATAACAGAAAATAACATTTAAAGTCTTTTTAAAATTATTTTTTTTTATTATTTCTATTTTTTTCTTTCTTCAAAATAACATTTTTTATTAATAAAAACCTGATGGCTGCGTGGGGAAGAGATGTCAAGCTGGAGAAAGGAATTCCAGGATCCAATGTGCTTAAAATAAAACTTAATTATTCAAATAATTAAAATTTATTTGAGTTGAAAATAAAAATAATTGAACGTAGAAGAAGGAGGAGGGGAAAGGGGGCTTAATTTAGCAGTGAACATCAAAGTGGCAAAATGATTGGGAATATAAGTGCTGCAAGTAATAAACAATTTTAATAATATTTCGTCACTTAGAAGTGATTTTTACTTTAGCATGGATGAGCTTAGAAGANCTAGATATAGTAGTAATCCCTGTTTGCTTCTTTGTATTGTCAGATAATAACTCATCAACCCCTAACCGAATTCCCTTAAATTTTGATTGGGGAACTCGGGAGAACCACTGGAATGTTCTTAGCTTCAGCCGAGATTCTTTTAGAGAAAAATAGCAAAAATCACAATTTAAGACCAAGTGCGGGTAAGCGGCGTGAGTAAATATGAGTAATCTGGGCAGCGCTTTGAGGAATCAAAATAACATTTGGCTGGAACAAAAGAACTATTGAGAAGAAGAGAAAATTTACCCGTCAGTGATTTTAACGTGCGGAGATCGTTCACCGCCTGGCGCAGGAGTAGGTGGAGCAGTTGATCGTCTTGATTGGTTTCTACTGGAGGGCGTTACAGGGGTACGGGGGGTACTCCCACCTTAATTAATCAATAAATCAATTAATTAACCAATCGATCAATCACCAAACCAATCAATCAAGTCTACCAAAGTCTACCAAGTCTACCAAAGTCTACCAAAGTCTACCAAAGTCTACCAAAGTCTACCAAAGTCTACAAAAGTCTACCAAAGTCTACCAAAGTCTACCAAGTCTACCAAAGTATACCAAGTCTACCAAAGTCTACCAAAGTCTACCAAGTCTACCAAGTCTACCAAGAATACCAAGTCTACCAAGTCTACCAAAGTCTACTAAAGTCTACCAAAGTCTACCAAGTGTACCAAGTCTACCAAGTGTTCAAAGTCTACCAAGTGTTCAAAGTGTACCAAGTGTACCAAGTCTACCCAAGTCTACCCAAGTCTACCCAAGTCTACCAAGTGTACCAAGTGTACCAAGTGTACCAAGTGTACCAAGTGTACCAAGTGTACCAAGTCTACCTAGTGTACCAACTTATCAAGTGTACCAAGTCTACCTAGTGTACCAAGTCTACCCAAGTCTACCCAAGTCTACCCAAGTCTACCAAGTCTACCAATTTTAAAACACATATTATCCAAAAATCATTTTTTTCCTAAATTCAACTAAAATTATTTTTTTTTCTGTGAAAAAACTATTTTTCTATATTTCGCAAGAAATTCCTTTCGCATGCGGGCAAGTCCTAAATCAAACTTTCTTTTAATCTATCAACTAGAAAGAAACTGAACATTGAACACTTGCCACAAATTCTCATTTTTTTCTATCTTTGCAACCTGTTGTTGTAGTTGTGGGCCTTTGATAGTTCAAACTATGAACTCTGTTATATTTATCTAGTTGGAAAATGACCAGTAGTTATAACCTGAAAACTTTGTCATATTTTGGTGAATTAATCTCTAGACCCCAATTAAGGGTAAATTAAGAATATCTGCGAGTCTACAGATTCACTGAGTAACTATTTATATCACTATTTTTACTCAAACAATGTCTCCAGCATATCGTTGTGAATTAACATATGTTTTGTAAGTAGAGGTAAGTTTGGAAGGGTGGGGTGGGGGGTGGGGTAATTTTTTGAATAAAATGGTTAGGGCGTTTTTAGGAGAATATAAGCCTGAAAATTCAAGGAAGGGTTTAAGGACAAAATTAAAGCCCTTCTCATTCAAAACCACTTCAGTTGCACGGTTGTCACTTGCCTCCATCTTCATCTGGTTTATTTCCCCTCCTCCCCTCTTAACCCCTCATACCTGTTCTAGAAGATTGGGGAGAATCCTTCGTAAACCTAGGCAGACCCTAAATATATTCATGGATTATCAATCAATCAATTAATCAATCAATCAACCAACCAACCAACCAACCAACCAATCAATTAATCATTTGTCATCAATCAATCAATCAATACTATCATCAACGACGATACAAGTAACCACATATATAATAAATTGATTAAGTAAGTATCATTGATAAAAGTAAAGACTTGCTTTAACTCGNAATCAATCAATCAATCAATCAATCAATCAATCAATCAATCAAGCAATCAATCAAGTAACCTTTAATATCATTGAAACACATCAAGGTTGTTTTAAACCCAGTCAAGAATCAACGAACTTACCAAGAAATCTTTCTCTCCATAACCTCTCCTTGTATCATCTATATCCTTAAATAAAAATTACATTTAGAGAATTTAAATAGATTTTAAGAACTAAAATAAAATTAGAGAATTTAACTAAATTTAGGGAATTTAAATAGATTCAGAGAACTTAAATAGATTAAGAGAATTTAAATAGATTAAGAGAATTTAAATAGATTTAGAGAATTTAAATAGATTTAGAGAATTAAAATAGATTTAGAGAATTTAAATAGATTTAAAGAATAAAAATAGATTTAGAGAATTTAAATAGATTTAGAGAAATAAAATAGATTTAGAGAATTTAATTAGATTTAGAGAATTAAAATAGATTTAGAGAAATAAAATAGATTTAGAGAATTTAATTAGATTTAGAGAATTAAAATAGATTTAGAGAAATAAAATAGATTTAGAGAATTTAATTAGATTTAGAGAATTAAAATAGATTTAGAGAAATAAAATAGATTTAGAGAATTTAATTAGATTTAGAGAATTAAAATAGATTTAGAGAAATAAAATAGATTTAGAGAATTTAATTAGATTTAGAGAATTAAAATAGATTTAGAGAAATAAAATAGATTTAGAGAAATAAAATAGATTTAGAGAATTTAATTAGATTTAGAGAATTTAAATAAATTTAAAGAATTTAAATAGATTTAGAGAATTTAAATAGATCTAGAGAACTTAAATAGATCTAGAGAACTTAAATAGATTTAGAAAATTTAAATAGATTTAAAAAATTAAAATAGATTTAGAGAATTTAAATAGACTTAAGAAATAAAATAGATATAAAGAATTTAAATAAATTAAGCGAACTTAACATAATCCAGTAAACTATCCACTTATTCATCTAGTAAACTAAGAATTGGTTTAAAGGGACTTTAAGCGTAATTAAAAGTGATCCTTACATGCGTTTCTAATTCATACTTGATCAGACAAAGATTTTAGGGGAACCCTTGTTAATCTGGCATTGACATCTTTATATGCAGAGTTATTTGAAATTAATCGTACAGAGGCCGAATTTAAAGAATTTGAGCCGCGGCTTAAATTTAAGCTTCGGCTCAAATATGGTTGGTTCCACTTAAAATCGTATTCAATGTTTAAATATTGAAGCCGGCGCTCAATTAAAACCGATTTTTAGGGGATTTGAGACGCGGCTCAAATTCATTAAATTCGGACTCAGTTCCTCTAAAATCAAATAAGAGCAATTACAAAAAAATATAATTGTTTGCGCTGAACCTGTTTATTAAGATTAGAACTTCTCCTGAGCTCATTTTGTTCACTCTGCCATCTCAGGGGGGAGAAATCCTTTAGCTCCTATACAGTATAGTTCTATGCAGCTGCACAGCAGTACAGTACGACAGTGCAATACAATACAATGCAGCTGTACAGTAGAACAGTACAATACAATAAAAAAGAAGCTGTACAGTAGTTCAGTACAATACTATGCAGCTGTACAGTAGTACATTACGGTACTATGTAACTTGACAGTAGGACAGTACAATACAATACAATGCAGCTGTACAGTAGTACAGTACATTACAATGCATCTGTTCAGTAGTTCAGTATAATACAATGCAGCTGTACAGTAGTACAGTACAATACTATGCAGCTGTATAGTAGTACAGTACAATACAATGCAGCTGGACAGTAGTACAGCACAATTCAATGCTGTACATTATAGGGCAGTACAGAACAGTAAATTGCAGTCAGTACAAAATAAAAGAGTAAAATACAGCACAGTACAGCACTACAATACATTACAGTATAATGCAGTACAATCCTTAAAAATATTCGTTTGTTTGTTTTGGTGTTTGTTTGTTTGTTTATTTGTATACAATAATAGTCAAAACGGCTGAACCAATCGGGCCAAAATTTAATTTTATTCTATTTAAGACGAATAACAATGAAAATTGAAGATTTTTAGAAATAAGAAAAAAATCATTTTTGCCATTTCCTGGGATTGGATTTCGAAACAAAAATTACCTTAAATGGTGAAATAGTATTTTTTGTTGGCGAGGTAGTTGGAGATCTCATTAAACTCCTACAAATCATCAATTCATTATTCATTTAATTTATTTTTCGTTCAATCATTAATTTTACTTTTTACAGATTATATTCTTTGATTGATTGATTATCAAATTATTGGGGGGAAATATTCCAACAACCTTTATTTTTGGAGGTATTAAATAAATAAAGAAATAAAAAAAATTAACATCAGATTTCATACCCTAGAAATAGTTTATCCTTTAAGACCTTAGTATTTATTATTTTGTAATATTTTATGAAAAAAAAATTACTAAATTTTTTTCTTTCTTTTTTGAAGTAGTGAGAAGATTGGTAGCTAAATGGGAGAATTAATATTAAATATGTTGCATTGATTGATTGATTGACCTAATGGCGTTGGCGGATACAGGTTGTCTTTGCAAGCGCATGTTTTCTTCCTAAATGCGGCAAACTTGTTTAAAAAAATAAATCATTTTTGAAAAAGGACAAAATTTGTCAGTTGCTGTTGGTTCTATTCTTTACCACGCACACCCTAGTATGAAAAGTTTAAAAATTAAATATTGAAAAAAAGGCGTGATAAAATTTGCCCGCCTTGACTGGGGTGGCGTAAGGCGTGTTCTCCGGCGTGGCTTCAATCGCTGCCTCAGGTGGAGACTGAACAAACCTAAAAAAAATACCTATTACATAAAAAACTTTTCACCCTATCATCATTCTTTTTCTTCAAATTAAATTTTTTTCCTAAAAATTAATTTTTTTCCCCTTAATATTTTTAAATTAATTTTTTCCCCTTAATATTTTTAAATTAATTTTTCCCCTTAATATTTTTTACCTTTAATCATTTGATGGCTAATAAAATAGAGCAATTAAATCTTATTTAAGAAGTGAGGTCGGCAAATCCTACAAATCCCCTCCTCCCCCCCCCCATCCCCTTGAACGGGCTGTCGACCAATTTTCACCCCCAATCCCCTTGAACGGGCTGTCGACCAATTTTCAAGTGACCCTACATTTCAAAGGTTACATCAGCTACAATCACAGCACTACCTTTTTTAATCCCTGAATGTGATTAATAATGATATCGTCATTTTCATGACTTGAAAAGACTTAAATTCTCTTAATTTCGTTCTTTGTCTCTGCTTAAAAAACCACAAGTCCCATCAATAGAGAACCACATATTGAAATTATCACTTTTCTTGAAATATAACAAAAATACTCGATCATTTTAGTTCAGATTTTTTTTAAGTCCCTGAGCTTTTTTTTTACCTTTAGCTCCAAACCTTTCCCTATCCAATATTCTAATCCTTTACATACCCCATACTCTAGACCTTTCCCCTTATCATTTACTATAGACTTTTTCCCTTATCCTTCAGTCCAAACCTTTCCTTATCCTTAACCCTACAATATTTCCCTTATCATTCACTTAAGACCTTTCCCCTTATCATTTACTATAGACTTAATCCCTTATCCTTTAGTCTAAACCTTTCGATACCCTTTACTCTACACTTTTCCACTTGTCCTTTACTCTGCTAGTCCTTTCCAAACCCTTTACTCTAGTCCTTTCCATACATTTCACTCTAGAATAAAGACCTTTAACATTATTCTTTACTATAGTCCTTTCCATGCCCTTTACTTTAGACTTTTCCCTTTATTCTTTACTCTGGTCCTTTCTATTCTCTTAAAACTAAACCTTTCTCTAACCTTTACTAAAGAATAAGACTGGGTTTAGATTAAAAGGATAGGTCAAGAGTAAAAAATGTGTAACTGTTAAGAGTAAAATATGAGAGTAAGTGCTGGAGTGAAGGATAATCAAAGGTTCAGTAGTAGAGGTTAAAGAAAGCATTAGGAGTAAAAGATATGAAAAGGTTTAGAAGAAAGGATATGAAAAGGTTTAGAGGAGAGGATAAGAAAAGGTTAAGAGTAGAGGATGAGGAGGGGTTTAGAGAAATGATAAGGCAAATTTAGATTTAAGAATATGAAAGGAGTGTGAAGTTATATTTCCTTTTGGTTATTTCCCCTTTCTCAAAACCCTTCTTTATCTTTTTCTCCTAAACCTGCCTTTCCTTACCATAAACATGCTCTATCCTAGACCTAACCCCTTTCTTATCCTTTACTCTAAACCTATCCTTATACTTTACTTTAAACCTTTCTTTAACCTTTACTTTATCTTTACTTTGAACAACTCTATTTCTCGATACTTCTAATTTTTTCCTTATCCTTTACTCAAACCCTTCCCTTATCCTTTCCTTATCCTTTCCTTATCATTTCCTCTCTAAACTGTTACTTATGCTTTACTCTATACAATTACATTCTCACTCTTTATTATTCCTTTTCCTTAGCCCTAAACCATCCTTATTTTTACTTCACTTACTTATGCTTTACTCTATACAATCACATTCTCACTCTTTATTTTTCCTTTTCCTTAGCCCTAAACCATCCTTATTTTTACTACACTTCCTTATGCTTCACTCTTAGCTCTTTCCAAATACTGAAATATGTCTTCTTTTATACTTTATTTTACATTTTGCTTTATCCTTTGCCTGTGCAATAAAATCTTATTCCACTCTTTACTCTAAAAATTAAAATATAAAAGTTTGGATATGATTTCTTATAAATTACTATGTGTTTTAAGATTTTAAACCAACAAAACTTAAACTCCAAAGAGAAAGAAAAAAACGTTAAAAAAATAAAAAAGGAAATGTTCNTGGTTTTAGATTTTAAACCAACAAAACTCCAAACTCCAAAGAGAAAGAAAAAAACGTTAAAAAAATAAAAAAAGAAATGTTCAGAGAGTAAAGGATAAAGGGAAAGGTTCGAGAGATGGGAATGGAAAGGTTCAGGATAAAGGATAAGGGGAAAGGTCTAGAGTAAGGGGTAAAGAAAGGTTCAGGGGAAATATCTCAAATAATGGGAATAGAAAGGTTCAGTATAAAAAATAAGGTTTAAGACATGGGTTAGTGAGGGTAAAGAAAGGTATAGAAAGGGTAAACGATAAGGGGAAAAGTCTTGAGTACAGAGTAAAAAATATCTAATATATCCTCAGCTAAAACAGAATATCTTAAAGTATATTTTACATCTACATGGGGTTATTTTACACAATTTTCAAAGTAAGTTTCTAAATAAATAGCTAAAAAATGTCAATAAAACATTACTTTGCAAATATGCGAATTGCGGGAAAATTCGCCCTAGGAAAAAGTGCTTACATATATCGCAAAATGTTCGTCTCGATGAGTTATTTCAGAATCTCAAAAAAAAGTTACATGGGACTTTTCTTATCTCTTAGAGGTCATTCAAGCACATTGTGCTTAGATAAATGTTAAACCTGGATGTGCTCAGGGGACTGGGTCGTATTTTCTCCAGAGTAGGTCTTGCCGCAGGAGAAGAAATATCAAAAAATTTCCCTAAAAAAAGATAAATGTACTGATTAGAAAAAAACTAAGGATCAAAACTAAACCTTTCTTAGCACTCAAAAATCAAAAGATTTATCGAAAAAAGAAAGCTTTTTTTTCTTGGTCCTTTTCTTGATTCTTGATTACATGTTAAAAATAAGATTTTGAAAATAAAATATATAAGGTCAAGGTCGAAAACATTATCAATTGCAGAGGGGCAAAGACCAAGACCAAGACCAATACCAATACGAATACCAATACGAATACCAATACCAATACCAATACCAATACCAATACCAATACCAAGATCAAGATCAAGATCAAGATCAAGATCAAGATCAAGATCAAGATCAAGATCAAGATCAAGATCAATAAATTTACCTGGAGTCCATGTTGGATCAAGAACACAGCCTGGTGCTGCTGGAGATAGAGGGAGTTCAAGAATAGAAGATAGAATAGGTTCATCCTTGTACCCACACTCCTAGACAATCAAATCAAAACATCAAAATACAAATAAAATACAATCAATTTTAACCAAACCAAACCACACGAAATCAAATCAATTAAAATCAAGTAAAATCAATTAAAATGAAACCAAATGAAATAAAACCAAAAAAACAAATGAAATAAAATGAAATAAAACCAAAAAAAATGAAACCAAATGAAATAAAACCAAATGAAACCAAATGAAACCAAATGAAACCAAATGAAACCAAATGAAACCAAATGAAACCAAATGAAACAAAACGAAACGAAATGAAATGAAATGAAATCAAATCAAATCAAATAATAACAAATCAAATAATATCAAATCAAGTTTAATCTAATGAAATGAAATGAAATGAAATGAAATGAAATGAAATGAAATGAAATGAAATGAAATGAAATGAAATGAAATGAAATCAATTTAAATCAAATCAAATCAAATGAAATCAAATAAATTAAATCCATCAAAATCAAATCAAATTTCCATTCTACATTGTTTAGATCTTTTTGGTCGCATAAGGGACTGAAGGAGGTTGCTGAACTACCTATTGTCGGTTTAGTCTGTGAATCATCGATTCAAATACTAAAAATTCAAATTCAAATTGTAATATGTGATTCTGATTTGAACCAGCGATGGGTAGTTCGTCGATCTCCAATTCATTAAATTTCATACCTCAACATTCAAGGAATATCTAGAACATTCCGCCAGTACATCATGGACCTCACCTAGACCTAGAGTAATAAGATTAAAGGGACTGTAAACGTAATTTCATGTAATCCTATATATATAGATAGTATTTTCAACTTTTTTCAGTTTAAATATACATTTTAGATGTTTAAATATATATTTCTTCCAAGACAAAATGTTTCATGGGTCTAACCCAATCATCAGTTGGAATAAAACTCTATATATATCTATATAGCGTGTTCGAATCACAACGGTACCCTTAAATCCTGTATCAGCTTAACATTAATTATAGTTTTCTATCTTGAAAAGTATTCAGTTTAAATTGCACCCTTGCACCCCGAAACTTTTAGGCTGAAACGTTTAGTTCTGACAGTTCACTTCATTGCATCTGTTGCCAAAAATCCGCAAGTAACTTTAACAGAAAAACCAAAATTACTAAACCCAAATTTTAAACTAGAAAAACTAGGATATCGTACTTATCATTTATCACGCAAAGGTAAAACGGGAACCACTGTAAATCAAACATTCCATTATAAGTGGATGAGGATAAAGAAGGACGAGGACGAGGACGAGGAGGACGAGAAGGAGGACGAGAAGGAGAAGGAGGAGAATGAAAATGAAAATGAGGATGAGGATGAGGATACCTTTCCATCGAGCAGCAGATCTCTCGTGGTCCTTAGACTGTGTAACCAGCAGGGGATGCATCCTACAACAGAGAATTTAGGGTCTTAAAGGGACTGTAAGCGTAATTTCAAGTGACCCTCTATCAAAAGATGACAATGCCTGAATTACTCCCGTGCCCTTTAAAGCTTTGCCTGATCAAGTATGAATTAGATATCCATGTTTTTTTTTTTTTTTAATGTTAATTTTCATTTGCCGTTATTCTGGAAAAGTGACTTGCTCATTTCTTGCTTAAAAGAAACTATGGATATATCGGTAGCTTCCATATTTTTGATCAGATTTAGGTTTCAAGGGTACCGTTGTAAATCGCACATTGCCATCTTTGCATGGAGAGTCACTTAAAATTACGCTTACAGTCCCTTTAATCAAAGGGACTGTCCATGTATTTTCTAATGACCCTCAAATCGATATCGGTATCCTGGACCGTGACAATATTCTTTTTCTTTCTAAAAAAAAATGGAGATTTCAACGCTATGAGCTAGAATGTTCAGATTACGGTTGTAAGTACTGCTGTGAATCGATGATGCAGCAACTCTTATATTAAAAATAGGTTTTTGTATAATCCTTCTTTTCTCTCTTCTCAGTCATTAATTCAGAGATTAAAGGTCTGATCTTTTATTGGTCGAAGCTTGACAAGAATTATCTTAATGGGAAGAAAATGTGACATGATTAAATTGCTCGGGGATTTAAATTCCCATTGGTTCTAATTTTTCTGAGAAAATGAAACATTGAGCAATGCAAGGAAGGAGGTTTAGGAAAATTGAGAATAAAAAAAGTAAAAATTATGAAAAAATTCAAAATAAAATCTTTATTTATGTGAATAAATGTTTATTAAAAACTCTACCTAACTGTGGATAGTAGGGGGGCTACAACCTCTGTAAAAACTGCATAATCCTTTCCTAAAATTTAAAATAAATAATTGTAAAATTTAAAATTTATAGCTTCATAAAAAATTTATTATAAACAACATTTAAAAGAAGTGAATGAATGAATGAAAGGATGAACAAATGAACAAATGAATAAATGATTAAATGATTTAATAAAATAAACGAATAAATGAATAAATGAAAAAACAAATGAATGAACGAATGTACGAATGAAAGGATGGATGAATGAATGAATGAATAAATGAATGAATAAACCTGTTTCTGAGTATTGGGTACGGAGCCAGCTAAGAAAATTACAAGGAAACATTCCATAAAGTCTAAATTCAATAAGCTTTAGAAACATTTTTTCAATGAAAATATTAAAAACTGATCACATATATCGAGATCAATGCTTGATCCAATTTGTGTTAATCTGCAGATTAATTTAATCTTTATTCGATATCCCGCATGGTAATTGTACCCAGTTAAGGGTTGAAGGGAGCTTTGATCAGGGGAGGTTTATCTAAACTTAAGATAAGAAACAGTTTTTTATAGAACCTTAAATTAAAAGTGCACATCTTGATTATAGAAATCAAACGATTGGGATTATGAGAATCCAATACAACAGTTCACAGCTCAGATAACTCTTTTTATACACTAGAGTTTAAGCATGGTTTCAATGAAACTACATTGTCGTCATGTATATCAATACAATGAAGACGACTTTTGATTTCAATTTTTGATTTCTACCAAGATTTCCAACAGCATAGATACACATAAACATGGAAACAAAGAGAAGCTTTGCTTTGTTTATTTGAAAAAAGCTTGTTAGAAATTTAAGCTTACATTAAAAAGTCGTCTTCATTCTATTGATAAAAACGCCGACCATATTCAACGACATGGAAACGATAAAAGTGATCAGTTGTCAATTGACAAATGTCAAGATCTTATCGTTGATTACTTCTAAACTTGTAATTTGAAAAAAGCTTGTAAGATATAAAAAAAAATCTGTCTTGAATATAATTTTTTTTAAATAGTTCTATAAAATATTTGATTTAAAATATTTTAATCTCATTTCAACAATTCGTAGATTTGCATTTTTAAAAATGTTTTCTAAATTATATGAAACGGAAGCAGAGGCGCAATACGGGGGATGGGCGGTCCCCCTTCTCCTTATTCTACAATAAAAGTAGTGAAATTCACAGGGCAAAAACAATGGTATAAGGCAAAAAAACATTATTTCTATAAATAATGTTAAATTCAAATATTTAATTTTTAATAAAACAAATTCTCCCCCCCCCCCCNTAAAATGAAAAATAATGACCTGTTAAAAAATGCGTAGATTGCTACATGCAGGTGTACAACACTTACACCTTTAGATCCTTGTACAACACTAGACTGTACACTTTTACCAGAATTCTGGACGTGCAGAAACGCTGAAAACAAAAAATAGTTTTTTTAATTCTTCAAAATTTGTCTAAATTTTGAGATACCTGCTAAACGACTAAAAACTTCAAAAATTTCTGTAAGAACAGTAGACACCTAAAATAAAAATTTTTAAATATTTTTTTTTAAAGTTTCATTTTGTTAATATTTCTATTTTTGATCATGAAAGGGTTAGTACGCAAATATTCAGATCGTATTATATACGCAGAATTCCAGGAAAGTGTGTGAAATGCAATATGCGTCTTAAGGACCAAGTTGGATTATGGGAGAGATGGGGTGGGGGAGGTGCAACCTACGTCGCGCGAAAGTGGGAAGGGGGGTGCACACCGGGTGGAACGGTTATGTTCCAAACTGAGTATTTAAACCCCTACAACCCAACCATATTCATCAGTTAATTGACAGCCCAGACGATAACAAGAGATAATTTCTAAAAAATGTCAGTTTCCATTCGACCTCGAGACCTCTTCTTCGAGGATGCATTCTTTGAGAACAGCTGGCCAGACTTCGCCATGGTCCGCGAAGCCATGTTTAAAGAACCACATGATCTCTGGGAGAAGTTTGATGCTGACTTCCGGTCCACCGCCTGTATGGTTGGATTGATGAATAAGTTCAAGTTGAATGAGAAGGAGGACCCGCTGGATGTGTACAAGCGCACCTGGATGTTCCCCCGCCGATGGATGAAATCCAGCCTCGACACCCCCCTCCCCTCCCTCTTCACCATCCCCGGGGACACCGAGGTTATTAGAGTTATCCAGGACGTAAACAGCCTCGAGGTCACTCTGGACACTAGTATGTATCTACCGAAGGAGCTGGAGGTTAAGGTGGAGGACGGGATGATCTGCATCTACGGTAAGCACGAGGAGGCTGCTAAGAACGGGAAAAGGATTATGCACAGAGAGTTCTCAAGAAAATACAAACTACCGATTGGTTGCAGGGCCGAGGATGTTATCAGTAACCTCTCCAGCGATGGAGTCCTCGTTGTATCCTCGGGATATCCTCCGGCGATTAGGGATGAACCTCAATCTAAAATCAAATAATCCACGAAGCTCCCCCCGAGTACTGTACATAAATATTCGATTTCAGTGTACATAAAATTTTTCCATGATGAGCCAAATTTAGTTTTATATAATTTGTAATATTTATGAATGAATTAGCGCAATAAAATATCTGTATCAAATCCTTATTCTATTTAGCTCGTTACACACACAAAAACATGTTCTAACAAAATATTATTGGGCAAATATGTTACCAAAAAAGTCTAAAGTAACATTTCTAATTTCCCTTACATCTTTGAAGTGTTCAGTTTTGGCCGGATAAAAGTAACACAAGTACAAACAATTTCGACACTATTTATATAACACTAGCCGAAGTGCCCGGCGTTGCCCGTGGAATTTCAAAATACTCTTGCAAAAAAAATTTGAATTAAAAAATTGAAATTTTGGTAAAACAAAAACAAATGTTTGCCTACGCTACCCCGGGGTACTCAAGGGTTCCCTCAAAAAAATGTCAGCCAATTTGGACTAACCATTTGGCCAGCTATAGCTAACGTATATAAATACAAATATGTATATATTAGCAAAGAGCTTTATTATAAAGATAAGGTGGATAGAGAAGAAGACGGAGGATAGATTACCCTTGAAGGAACAGCAGGAAGTAGGGTGAGTAGGACAAGAAGACCAGTCACTAGCAGGACAAGATCTACCTCATGCTTCAACATCTAGATAGATAGATAGATAGAGATAGAAAGATTGATGAATGGATGGAAAGAAAGAAAGTTTGTTAAATGGATAAATGTCTGGCTGGATGGATGGAAAAATGGAAAAATTGAGAGATGGATAAATAGATAGCAAGATAGATAATGGATAAATGGACAATTGGACAAATGAATAGATAGAAGGATAGATAAATGGATGATTGGATAGAAATATAGATAAATAGATAAGAGATAGATAACATATATAGAAGAATATATGAATGTATTGGATAGATAGATATATAGATGGAAAGATGGATAAATCAGTAGAACGATAGATAAATGGTTGAATTGATAAAGAGAAGGATAATGATCAAATGAACAACGTATAATTACGTTTATACATTTATACTAAAAATATAAAAATGAATAAATGGATAAATAAAAGATGAATAATGGATAAATATAAAAATGAATAAATGGATAAATAAATAGATGAATAAATGGATGAATATAAAAATGAATAAATGGATAAATAAATTTATGAATAAATGGATAAATATCAAAATGAACAAATGGATAAATAAATAAATGAATAAAACTTAAAATGATTTTTCTTATCTTTTTTAAAAACAAAAAAATGTTACTTTAATGAGTTCTTTGAAGCAGAAGGTTTGCGGGAGCTTGTGAACCCAGGTCGGTTGCTTTCTAATCAAATATAAAGTAATTAAATTAAATAATTGGATAATTGTATGATTACATGACTAAATAATCAAGCAATGAATTAGTTCTAAATTTATAATTCAAGCATTTAATAAATTAAGTGAAAAAGAAATCAATATGATTTGCTGATTACAAATGATAATTAAAATTAATACAAAAAAATAAAAGCATAATTGCTGCGGCCGTTGGTTAAAGAATACATCAAGGATAATTCATCTCGTTTAAGAATTTCCATTATTACATGTTTTCCACAAATATTATCATATTATTACCATTGCATTACGGCATACGTATTGCGTATTGGTACAGTTGCGTCAAGGTTTGTGTACTGCGTATTAGTAAAGTTGCATCACCGTATACATATTGCGTATTGGTATAGTTGCGTCAAGGTATGCGTATTGCGTATTGGTATAGTTGCACCAAGGTATGCGTATTGCGTATTAGTACCTGGCAATAAAACCTAGCATGTTGACCGCAAGTATCCTATTTTGCGTATCTGAACTACGCAATCCCTCATAAATCCTGACGTATTAAATATTTAAAGGGACTGTAAGCGTAATTTTAAGTGACCCTCCATGCAAAGAATACAATGCCCAATTCACATCCGAACCCCTGAAAGCTTTGTCAAATCAAGTATATATGTTATATAATCAATGTTTTTAATTTTGAAATTAAATTGATTATTTTTAATTGTTATTTTCTACAAAAGTGACCTGCGCATTTTACAGAATTAAACAACTCTTAACCTAATAACACAATTATTCATCGGATAAAACTTTAGGGTACCATTGTGAATCGGGCATTGCTATCTTTGCATGGATAGTCACTTGAAATTGCGATTACAGTCCAGCCCCTTTAAACATATACTGATTTTACATCTACATATATATCATAAATGAATAAATGAATGAATAACAAGTAAATAGATTTATGAAAAACAGATGAATAAAAGGATGAATAAAAAGATCAACGATAAATAAATTATATTTTATGAGGACTATAAATTGAATAAATAAATAAATCAATGTTTATAAGGACTATTAATTGAATAAACGATTAAATCAATGAATTAGGGACTATAAATTGAATAAATGATTAAATTAATGAATTAAAGACTATAAATTGAATAAATAAATAAATCAATAAATATAAGGAATATAAATGGAATAAATGAGTAAATGAATGAATGAGAGGATAAATGAAAGGATGAGTGAATGAACGAGTGAATGAAAGGATGCATAAAAGGATGAATGAGTGAATGAAGAAACGAACAAATGAATGAATGAATGAATGAAAGAATTATAAACCTGTCACAGAGAACTGTATCTAATGGTTCCTTCACATTAAGCAGAAGCTTTAATCCATTCATGCTCTGTACATATACAGTTAATATAACAGTACAGTACAGTACAGTACAGTACAGTACAGTACAGTACAGTACAGTACAGTACAGTACAGTACAGTACAGGTACAGTACAGTACAGTACAGTACAGTTGAGAGGAAGAATGACAGGAGGAAGGAATAAATAAATAAATAAATTAATGAATTTTACTGTATCCCTGCGTTGATGAATAATATTCGTATAATCCTGTAACAAGCCAACCAGAATCCTTACTCCCTTCAGACAATAACAACAATAATATAATGAAGAAGAAAAAACAAGAGGAAAGAAGAGCCGCAACAATAACATTAATGACAAAAATAACAATAATAACAATGATAACAACAGTATAATAACAACTATTATTATTATTATTATTAAAGGACAACCCATCATTCAATGAAATAGGGGTCGACGCTCCTAGCCGCCGAAACGTATCCATGGGCTACCCGAACTGGCCACCCTAGGGAGAAGACTTATACTAGGCGGTCAGCCCAAGACAGCCCCGTTTTTGGAGACTCTCTAAAAACCAGGCAGTCTGCCCAAGACAGCTCCATTTCTGGAGACTCTCTAAAAACCAGGCGGTCTGCCCAAGACAGCTCCATTTCTGGAGGCTCTTTAAAATTAGGCGGTCTGCCTAAGACAGCTTCATTTCTGCTTTCACATAAACATATTACCTTACTTGTGGATCTTGACAAGCCATGCCTCTAGGATAATGGCCATCCGTTTTCCACGATCCAAGAGATGCACTCCATCTGCTCCATCCCCACCGAGATACAAACGGAGGACAGTCTGTGCAGTGCACGGCCCTCTCTTCAAAGCATTTAGTTTGTACTGGGTAGTGTTGTTAGTGTAAGTTGGACATTGTCATTGAAATACATTGAACGTATCAATGATAGGACCCGCCCTCCGAACCCTATTCGGCTCAGCTTGGTGTATAGGAGCTCCCTACATATCGAATCATAGGCCTTTGCCAGGTCACAGAAAGCAATTGAGATTGAACAGTGCTGCCATCGTGCTTCTCGGATAACTGCTAGAATCGCAAACACACAGTCAGTAGTGCTCCGGCCTGACCGGAAGCCGTACTGGACGGACCCGTAGAATCCTTCCTCTTCACAGATAGGATCCATTCTCTTGTGCACAAGTTTCGTGAGTACGCTCAGGAAAACGGTTGGGACCGTTAGTGGCCGTTTCTCACCTACCACCAACAAAGACTTCTTCTTGTTAGTTTCCCTGTCAGGAGTGCAGGAGGCACTTCTCCGGATTCTAGTATTTCATTTAATACGCTCGTGAATTCTTGTAAAAATGCCGCACTGGCATGTTTCAGCATCTCAGAGTGCACCCCATCCACCCCTGGTGCACGATCTGACTTATGGGACTTAATGATCTCCGTTACTTCAGCCACCGTAAAAAATAACAAAAACAATAACAATAAAAACAATAATAAAAAAAACAACGACAGTATAATAGCAACTATAAAAATAATAACAATAATAACAAAAACAACAATCATTAAAAATAATTACGAAAACAACGACAGTAATAATAAATACAACAATTTCAACAAGAACCACGGTTATAGAAATAACAATCCAACAAAAGTAATAATAACAATAACAACTTCATAACAATACAATAATAACAACAGTACCAACAATAATAAAAATTAAAGCAATAAAAACGATAATAACAAAAACAAAGAATAAAAATAACAATAACAACAAAGCAACGTTTAAAATTCGGTCATGGTGATGGACCAAACCTCTGTAGAGTAAAAAAGTAGATGTTAGTTCCACATTTATTGAAAATATATTTCGGTCTGGGTTGACCCTCATCAGTTCTAACGAACAAAGCAACGGTCAGCTTCAAATAGATTATCAAGTACAATAGGTTGCAACAGAGAAATGGACCAATAATACACGACATCACAAGTGGCAAATATAACAAGAAAAACGAAATTTTCTCAAATTAGTTGCCATGTTTTTCGAGATTAAATAAAAAAGTGTATAAACAGAAAATAAAGACTTAAAATTGCAATTATTTCACTGTTATAAGATAAACACTTTATTCTAAAATTATCACTATTATTGATAATTTTGTCGGACACAAAAACTGAGTTGACACCTGTGACGTGAGAATACAGCTGTACTGAGAGTGTACAAATTCTACGTTGCCATCTATTGTATTAGAATCTATTTGGTCAGCTTACAAAGAAAGGTTTTCCAACTAAGAAAGATTTTTCCAACAAAGGTTTCCAAGCTAAGAAAGGTGACCGCCACTAAGAAAGGTTTTCCAACTATGACAGTTTTCCCAACTAAGAAACGTTTTCCAACTAAAAAAGGTTTTCCCAGCAAAGAACGGTTTTCCCAACTAAAAAAAGTTTCCCAGTCAAGAAAGGTTTTCCCAACTAAGAAAGGTTAATTAACTAAGAAAGGTTTCCCAACTAAGAAAGGTTAACTAACTAAGAAAGGTTTCCCAACTAAGAAAGGTTAATTAACTAAGAAAGGTTTCCCAACTAAGATAGGTATTCCCAACTAAGAAAGGTTAACTAACTAAGAAAGGTTTCCAGCAAAGGAAAAGTTTTCTGACAAAACTATTCAAACAGAAATCTTTCAATTCAATCTTAAACAAGTTTTTTAAAGGGACTATAAGCATAATTTCAAGTGACCCTCCATGTATTACGTGGCATGATGTACAACAATACCCTTTAAACTCCATAAAGGGTGGCAATGCCCGATTTACAACTATACCTTAATCTGATCATAAATGTAGAAGATAATGTCGTTTTTCTGACTCTGGCAATTTTTCCACTGTCATTTTTGCAGAGAAACCGCAAATGAAAATAATCGGTTTAAATAAACGAAAACATGGATATTGAAATCACGCTTACAGTCAAAAAGACTCTCTAATCTCAGATAGATTAACAGTTTAAACCTATATATATTATCAATAATGTGGAAGATATCATCGCTTCTGTAGCTTTCAGTTTTTAATTCTGATACTTTTCTCCATAATCTGAAACAGAAATCCGCAAGCCATTTATGCTAGGAAACTACAGTTTAAAATAACCAGTCTTTAAAGTTAAAAACATGGATATCTCATTCATTGTTGGTCAGAAAAAGCTAAAGGGTACTCATGTGCCATGTGCATCGGACATACTACTCTTTTGTAATTGGAGTCCAGAGATAGGAACATTAGAATTGTGGATATCGAGATCAATGCTTGATCTTCTCTTTTTTTTAATCTCGAGACTAACCTGCTCTTATACTTGTTTCTTTAAGAGTGTATAAAATTCAACCAATCAGAGTCACATATCAGAAACCGGGAAATTTTAAATTTTGCTCGCGATTTAGGATTAATATATAGTCCCCCCGGCTCTCTAATTTTGAATAACCGGTTTTTTATTTTTCTGTACTATATCCAAAAAAGAGTGGATTATGCAAGAAATTAAAAGTGTCCACATTGGATATTCGGATTAACAGTCGGGATTACAGGTATCCTATTCTAAAGTTCCCAGCTCAGTACCTTTCTAGTAATAAGTATAAGTAAGGATGAAAATTAAATTCTAAGAATGAAATCTTCGAAATTTTCCGAGAAAACATAATTATTATCACGCTGAGTCCTGTATATTAACCTATACTCAGGTGTTTAGGACTTAAACATCTTTCTAATTTGATTCATCAAAGATTGAAATATATTCAAAATTTAATCTCGTGTTACTATTCTCAATAAATAAATTTATTTGTATTAACAGCAAAACAAGGTTATTTTATCGAATAAAAATCAACGGTATTAATAATAGTATTCACTCAACATTCAGCTAGAAAAACAAGGATATCTCTGTATATATTGTCTACAATGCATCAAATTTTAACAAATAAAAGCATTTAAGTATAAAATGTTAAGTGTGGTAGAAAAACAATTTAAAACGTGAAGATGCATTTTTGTAACCCTGTACCATTGTACAGTGTACAAAAAAATTTCAATTAAAATCAACAACCAAAAACAACATTGAGTACATAAGATGCTATTATTGTTCCTGTCAGTTTATCGTGGATTATTCGCTGGATTTCCTGACACAGAATACAAAAATCAGTCCCATAAACCTTTATCCAAGAGATTTTATTGTCTTTTAACATGTCGAGAAATTTTTGGTAGATTATTTTCCCGTATTTCTAGAATAAGGAGGATTTCAAGTTCAACAATAGAGACAGACAGGAAAGAGTATTAAATTTACAAAAAATAAATTTCAACTTTTCACCAACATAACCCTCTTGAAAGTCATTTCCCCCCGATCTTTTAAATAATTTGTCCCCCATAACCCCCCCCCTTTGTTAATTCTTGAAATTATATACTCCTTCCACTCTATTGAAATATGTTTTTGTGTTGCCTGAACAACATGTGTCTTATTGGACTCTAGAAGAGCAAACATGTCATCCACCGACATATTCTCCGGGTCTGTGGGCGCCGCCATCTTTAAAATCTGAAAATCCAAGATGGCGGATTGAATCACGTGACTGGTAAATGTTTATTTCTCCAACTACTACTGGTGACTAAGTTTAACAATGTGGAATATTTTGAAATAGCAGAGAGCGCTGAATTACAAATAATCAATTAATTATGGTTTTAACATTTAATTGTAAAATATTCTGGATCAATATTTAAGCGGTCATCTCAAGAGCAAGCCCAACCTTGTGTCCTCCCTGAAATAGAATTTGGTTTATTAATGTCCGGTGTCACGTTAAAGTGTGTCCGTTCGTAATAAACGCTCGGGCTACTGTATTTCGGTCTTAAGCCATCAAATTTTAAAATATTATAATAGAATCTTCTACAATACAAATGATTATTACATAATTTTAAAAAATGCTGAAGGTTAAATATCCATGTTTTTAATTATTTGAAAGGAAGATGACGTTCAATTGCTTTATTACTTTTAAAAGCGTATTCAACAATATTTTAAAGTGTAGTTTTATAATTTTTAATTGTAAGGAGTCTCAAAATTATTTAAAAAGGCACCGAACTACTTGAGCAAAATATTAACCCGGGCGGTTTGTAACGTATTACAAAATTTAAATACAATCTTAAATATATCTCTTAAACATTTCTAATAAAAAACAAAAAAAAATTGATAACAATTTTAGATTTTTTTATGCTCGAATTTAACATAAGTGGCATTTGGGGATATCTATGGAAAAGGCAGCAAAAGTTTTTAAAAAATTTTAATTTTCGTATTATAGTAATCATGTCTTTTTCCATCGAACTCTCGAAAATCCCAAAAATAGTTTTAAAAAACTAATATTCTAAAAGTCGGAAGTCCCAAAAATATCCTAATTTCAAAAAAATGTTATAATTGTTATGTTAAAAATCATCAAATATTACTAAAACAAAAATCAGATAGAAAATTTAACAGTTGACAACATCTGTGTAAAGATTACATTTGACGACATCTCTGTAAAGTGTGACAGATGACAGTTGACAACATCTTTTTAAAGTGTGACAGATGACATTTGACGACATCTCTGTAAAGTTTGACAGATGACAGTTGATGACCTCTGTGTATAGTTTGACAGATGACAGTTGACGACAACTGTTTAAAGTTTGACAGATGACATTTGACAACATCTGTGTACATTTTGACAGATGACATTTGACGACATCTGTGTAATCTTTCACAGATGACAGTTGATGACATCTGTGTAAAGTTTGATGACTTACAGCTGAGAAGTTTCCGCTGTTGACAAGAGTGCTGAGAGTTACAGTTACTCCATCTCTCAATTTCTGCTGGTATCCTAGACCTAGTTCACTCTTGTTGTTGATCTTAGCCCTAGATTCAGAAGAATTATTACACTAATAATAATAATAATAATAATAATAATAATATCCTAGACCCAGTTCACTCTTGTTGTTGATCTTAGCCCTAGATTCAGAAGAATAATTACACTAATAATAATAATAATAATATCCTAGACCCAGCTCACTCTTGTTGTTGATCTTAGCCCTATATTTAAAAGAATTATTTCACTAATAATAATAATAATATCCTAGACCCAGTTCGCTCTTGTTGTTGATCTTAGCCCTAGATTCAGAAGAATAATTACACTAATAATAATAATAATAATAATAATAATAATAATAATAATATCCTAGAAGGCGGGGCTTGAAAATATATCTACCTGAGAGCTGCTCCGTCCTCTAGGTTGTATTTAGCTCCGATACCGAATGAAGTGGAGCTGGTGGCGCTGCTCCATCCTAGGTTTACTCCAGTCTCCAGGCTTGGAGACACCTACAGATAGATAGATAGTATGAATCTTTTAAATTTTAAATACCTAATAGCTGAAGTGCTGCAACTGGTTTGAAAAAAAAAATTTCGATTTAAAAAAAAAAAGATTTTGAAAATAATCTATTTTTAAGCCTATGTTACCAGGGTACTCTCTCATGTATATATATATACATGAACGAAGAGCTTTATTATATAGATAGATTATTCAAGTGACTTATTTTGTACGTTTTTTAGAATGACCTGAAGATGGTTTAATAAACCTAAAGNATCAATCAAAACGTAAACGTTTTTTAAATTATATATGACCTGAAGATGGTTTAATAAACCTAAAGTTTGACTAAAAGAGTTTTTGTTTCAACTGGAGCTAAGAGTGTTATATTTAGAATAACTGTAGATTGTATATTTTCAATGATAAAAAAGAGAGAAATAGATGCATAGATAAACTAAGTGAATAAAAAAAGAAAATGTTTAAATAAAAAACAAAATGGTGGAATAATGAAGAATTAAAAGAAAACCGATTGATTGAATGAATGAATAAATGAATAATTGAAAAAATGAATAATTGAGAAATGAAAATTTGGATGAATACATGAATAAATGAGTGAATTTATAAACGAAAGAATAAATGAAAATATGAAAGAATGAATGAAAGAGTGATTGAATAACTGAATAAATGAAGGAATGAATGAATAGTTAAATAAATGAATAAATGATCATGAATGATTACCTTCTGATAAACGGATCCCCCGAACTCAGTACCGTTAGCAACACTGGTATGCAGAACAAAGTCAGGGGCAGAGTACCCCAGACCAAAATGATGCTGAAAAAGGGCAAGTTATATATATTTCAGTTTTTAACTTCACATTTTTTATTAAAAAAGAATTATACTTAACATAATGTTTCACGTCTATCATGACGATCCTCAGTAGTTAAAATTCTTTGAACATATATATATAAATAATTATTCTTGAAAAAAAATACTTCTACAAAAATCCCCCAACCCCGAACTAAATCTAATCAGAATTTTAAAAAAACCTACTTTCCATATTTTAAATGTTTTGTCTTTTTTTGTTGGGGAAGTAATTCTTCAAAATGTAAACGTACATTTTTATTTCAATTTAATTTTACAGTAAAATGTTTTAAAAAAAGATAAACTAATGAATTGAATTCACGAGATGGAATCAGTTCAAACTATTTTGCCACCCTTTGTCTCTCCTTCAATCCCAAATTACCAATATCGAATGAGGTTGTATAACCGGCCAACCAACCCTTGTGTCCAACTACAGCTGATGCGTTCAGTGCAGTCAGACCTAAATACAAATTATTGTTAACTTTTTGTCTTTTAAAGGAAATGTCACCGTGATTTTAGGTGACACCCCAATGAAAAGATTTTCATGAGCGCGATTCACAATTCTGAGATTAGGAAGTTTTTTAAAGTAATCTCTTGTTAGTTACCTAATGAGATTTGCTTTACAAGAAAGGTTTCTGTAGATTTGTTATTTATCTGAGATTAGTTAAAAATTGAGATTTATGTTTTGAGAGCAAACTTTCTTCTTGCAGGATTTGATTGATATTTTGGCCCTTGGATCCGGATCCGTGGATCCGCACAATTTTGCGGATCCGGATATATAAAGCTGGGATGTATATTAAAAAATCTAAAATCCATTATAAAGAAAATCAAATATTTTCCCCAGATGTTATTAAAGTTTTTTATTTTTAATTTTAGGTTTATTTCGCTACATGGGGAAAATAAAATAATTTTAATCGTAAAATAAAAGATTTTTTGGGTAAAAAGTTTCAAAACGAAATAACAAACTAGCCTTCAATGTCCCATTTTTCATTTTTTTCCCACATCATTAAGAATTATTATGAAAAATATACACCCGGATCCATGAAGCCAAAATGTTGCAGATCAAGCAGATCCGGATCCTAAGCACTGCACTGGTTAAAACTATGTTACACTACTTACCAAGATCAAGATCAGCACAGACAGTAGCTGTATCATGCTTGTACTCAGCAGACACCTTAAAGGGATAGTTGACGTATTCAAAGGGATATTAATATAGATTAAAGGGATCATCAACGTTTTGCAGTAATATTTTTGTGAAGATTCAAAACTGTAAAATTTACAGAAAAATTATTATGGACTAAAACATTATTAAAACTTTTTTCAACTTATTTTGTAAGAAAATAGGAACGTTATTTGAAGGGGCTAACAACGCCAAATCAATCAAAACGTAAACGTTTTTTAAATTATATATCTTACAGGGTGGCCAAAACTTTTTTGAACCCATCCGTACAAAAATCCGTACATTTTCAGAAGAAATTTCGGACAAATGTACATCATACTCANTTTGAAAAGTAAGATTATTAGTTATTAGAGTTTATCAATTTTATTAGAGTTCAATGTTATAAGAGTTTATCAATGTTATTAGAGTTTATCAAAGTTATTAGAGTTTATCAAAGTTATTAAAGTTTTTTAAAGTTATTAGAGTTTATCAATGTTATTAGAGTTTATCAATGTTATTGGAGTTTATCAAAGTTATTAAAAGTGAAGTTGTGTAAAATGTTTAAATGTCATCTTTTATTTAATTTTTGTTTTACCTTTCCTCCCAGACTTCCAGATGCAGGGGTGAACTTGGTGTCCAAGGACAACTGAAAACATTCACTGTTATAAGTTTAATAATTCTAAATGTTCTTGTATGAAAACATTCACTGTTTTAAGTTTAATAATTTTAAATGTTTTTGTATGAAAACATTCATCGATGTAATTCAGAAACCTTTCTGTTACAGAGTTAATATTTATCATGAAATCATTCATGGAAGTATATTTCAGGGATTTTACGTAAAAACAATCCTAATAATATATTGATATATATTATTTATGGGTTAGATTAAATAAAGACAATTTCTGGGCAAGTTCAGATTCAAGAAGAAATGTTTTGTAGGGTTGTATAATTATTTTAGGATTGGGGGGGGGGGGGG